TTGGTGATTATTGTCCCAGAGCCAGTCTCTCTGAATAAGGCTTTTGGTCCTCAAATGACTTGCCTTGAGAAGATGGCTCACAAGCAGGCTTCTAATGCTAGTCTTTCTACTTCTCGCCTTTCTAAAAGGCTCCATCAAGTACCAGATAGATATCTTAGTTCTTCAGTTGATTTGTAATTATTTTCCTTCTTGAGGCTATACCCTCTTAAATGAACACTCTTTACTTCCTTGTTGTACAGGACCGTACTCTGTCTTTTGATCTTGCAGCTGACGTTCTCAATACCGCCGTTGTTGATGTTCTTGGTACTGTGGATATTAGCCATGTTGCCCTTACCAGGCCGGACTCAGACATGGATGACACTCTTCCTTTGTCTGCGCGGCTCGGCCGGCCACCAACTTTTAGGATCCTCCCATGTGTGTTCAACACAAATATGTGGTTGAAAGTTCAAGAAAGTGGCTCAAGGTTGTTCAACATTAGCTCGGAAGTGAGAAAAACGGGCGTCGGAGGGCGCCGGAGGAATATAACTGGTTGCTGCAACAATTGTTGGCCTCCCACCCTTCTACAGCCTTCCTGGTGATAAAACAGAGGTACCTGCCAAAAATGAACGAAAACCGATGCAAAACGAATGCTCGGGGGCCAAAACGCGCAGTTCGGGGCCCCGAAAATGGGCTGTTAAGCACCGAAAATGGCATTCGACCACGAAGTGGGTCTCTCAGACCTCAGTGTCCCTCAAAAGGGAGTAAATAGGAGGTATGCCAAAAATCAGAGCAAACGGAGGTGGTTAGGCGGTCCCGAACCGAGGCACACGGCCTGACGGCTCCGAAAACCGGAAACCGGACTCCAAAATGGGAAAAATGGCCTACGGCCACCAAATGTAGCCTACGGACATTGAGAGTTGGTCTACGGGACTTCTCTCTTCCCTTAGGAAAAGAAACAGAGAAAACTGAGTCTGGTTCGCAAACCGAGGCAAGGCACAGAAGAGGGTTCGGAAGTCCGGAGGCAGGGCTCACGGCCATGACTCTGAAACTTCTGAACGAGCACGATATGCAACGTCACCGAGCGCTCAATCGGTGATGTCTGAGTCTTGAGGTCGGTCAAAAATGGGGTGTCTACAGCTACCCACTCAACGCGGCGTCGGTCTATCGATATACTTTCTCGCCCACTGAAATCCATCACTGTTAGCCGTGACCCGCCAACGCCAACCACACCACCGATTCAACGTGGTGTCGGTCTGCCTAATTGTTCCAGTGCCAACCACACATGTCGCCCTTCCAACATGTCGTGTGTGGTCACCAACTCCGCTGCGACATCACTGCTGGTTCCGGCCTCGCTCGTCCAACGCCGACTACACACGTTTTTCCACTCAACACCGTGTGTGGTCCTCCCTAGCATCGTCCAGCTTCAGTTTGCATTATTCTTCATTTCTCTATTGGTTATTATTGCCCTGAATCTGCTCCTTCAAATCTATGGGTAAGTACTTGTTGAAACCCATTTTTGAACTCCTCATTTTGATGGGTTTTGGTCTTGATTCAACAAACTTCATTCTCTTCATTGCTTTGGATTTGAGTGTATATGCTTGAAACCCTCTTTCTTTGGCTTTTTACAGGTTTTGCAAACAAATTTCTAAAACCCTTGAAACTTGACTCTCCATTTTTTATGGCTTTTAAGTTTATGCACTTGGACATGTAAACAATTTGGGTTTTGCTACCCTAGCCGTGGGAAAATATATATATATATATATATGAGTTTTTGGACTGAAATTTGACCTCTTGATCTTGAGATAACCACCACTCTTGATGAATCTTGTTTTGTAAGAAATTTTGGGCTATGAATCTTGACTTGGAAGAAATATTCTTGAAATTGGTATGACTAAGAAATATAATATCCAAATAAAAAATGTTTGAGATCTTGGGTCTGAAATTTGTTACTCAACTTACTCTGTTTGTTTAGAGTCAGAGTCTTGTATAAACTGGGTCTTTAATATTGAATACTGTAATCTGAGAGAGAATGACCCACTTGAATCTTGTTTGAGTTATTGATGTTGAGGAAGAACATGTAATCCACGTGAGTGTTGTTGCTAGCTTTGCTTGAATGGGACGAATAAAATAAATGTTGTTGTTGAATGATTGATTGTCGTTTTGTTGATCTTGTGGATGCTTGGGAAATACATAGCTGATGCCAAAATTGTGTGTGACGATTGTAGCTTTACATCGACTTGAGAGGAACCGGCCTGGAGAGACAAAACCTTGATTGTTGCATTTTCAAGAACTTGCTCAGAGTAATGAAATTGTTGTAGCTTAAATAGATCATTATTATTTGTTGATGTTGCCCCATTCCGATAATGTCTGAATCAGGATATGAAATTGATATTGCTCATCTCATTTGTTGGCTTTACTATTTCAGGCAAATAAATTTTTGTGCGAAATCCATGACCCCGAGGCCTTCAGAATCTTCACTAATGAGAGCAAGGGCTATCCTTCGAAAGTCTGAACGAGAGCAAAACTGTCCCTTAGGAGTCTGAAAGTAGCATACACCTTACTTCGGAAAGAAAGATCCCTCTGGACGGGAACCGAGTCTACCAAGCTTGCACCAATAGAAATAAAGATTGTCTCTCAGAAGTCCGAGCAGAAGCAAGGCTGTCTCTCAGAAGTTCGAACGAAAACAAGGCACTCCCTCAGAAGTCCGAGCAGAAAGAAGGCTGTCCCTTGGAAGTCCGAGTGGATGTGCACTTCTACTTCGGCAGCTAATGGAAGCAAAGGCTATCCCTCGGGAGTTCGAGTAAGAGTCCACTCTACTTTGAAAATAAAGATCCACGTAGCTCGTATTGATGAAATGAGATTTGTTCCTTAGAGTCCCAATGGAAGCAAGGGCTGTCCCTCGAAAGTCCGGGTGGAAGCACACTCTTTTCTTTGGCAAACAAAATCCCTTCTGGCTGGTAACTACAAGAAAGATCCCTCCTGGCTGGCAATTGAATCTATCAAGCTTGTACTAACGGAAGTAAAGATTGTTCCCTAGAAATTCGAGCGGAGACAAAGCTGTTCCTCGGAAATCCAAGTGGGTGTATACTCATTTCTTCGACAATCAATGGAAGCAAATGCTATCCCTCGAAGTTTGCACTGACGGAAGCGAGATCTGTTCTTCGAAAGTCTAAGTGGGAGCACACACTCTACTTCAGCAAGAAAGATCTTCGAAGCTCGTATTGATAGAAGCAAGGGCTATTCTTCGGAAGTCCGAGTGGGATCACACACTTTGTTTCAACAAGAAAGACCCTCGAAGCTTGCATTTATGGAAGTAAGGGCTGTTCTTCGGAGGTCCGAGTGGGTGCAACACTCTACTTTAGCAAGAAAGACCCTCGAAGCTTGCATTTATGGAAGTAAGGGCTGTTCTTCGGAGGTCCGAGTGGGTGCAACACTCTACTTTAGCAAGAAAGACCCTCGAAGCTTGCATTGAAGGAAGCAATGGCTGCTCTTCGGAGGTCCGAGTGGAAGTACACTTCTACTGTGTCAAGAAAACTCCCTTCAGGTTGGTAACTGAGTCTACCATTCAGATGTCATAGATAAACTTCTTCTACGGAATGTTGAAATTTGCCCCTAGAGTTGCAAGATCATTTGGAAAGCTTTCACCAGCTGCTCGGGTTGTGGCCATCATACACCATCATAGCCATGTCTTTGGATCTTTCTGTACAGACTGATATCCCCATCCCCGCAGGACTTTTCATGGATCTGTTGTAGTCGGAAACTTGCTTCTTGTTGGCCAACACACCGAGCTAGGAATCCGGTACCTCCTCGGAAGTAAAGTACACCTTGAATAATTATGAATTGGGCAAGCTTGGCCATAGTTAATTTTCCAACTTTGCTTATGAGTTGTTCGAGGACTTCTCCTCTCCAGTCCTCCGGAAGGGCTTTGTCTTCAGGTATTATCAAAGGCTCTGTTCTCTTCTTGATAATAATTGTCGCCTCCTCCTCTGGGATATCAACTCTTGCCCGTAATGTAGCGAGGGCATCTGAAAACTTGTTGTCGGAACGAGGCACATGCTCTATTTCGACCTTTTGAAATTGTCAAGAAGCCTTTGGACTGTTGTTCGATATGTGGCCAAGACAGGCTCCTTTAAGACGAACTATCTTGAAACTTGCTTCACTATCAACTTTGAGTCCCCCCGAATCTAAATCTTCTTGATACTGTGCTTCTCAACTGCTATCGAGCCTAACATAAGAGCCTCATACTCGGCTTCATTATTCGAACAATGGAAATCCAGTTTATAAGACAAATATAACTTTTTCCCACTTTTGCTTGTAAGAACTATCCCGGTTCCTCCTTTACCTCCGGCTGCTGCTACGTCAAAGCTCAATGTCCAAAAGCTTTCCTCGGAAGCCATAGCTGCATGCACCTTTCCTCTTACTTCTTCATTCACTGGTTCATAGTCACCACTTGGAAATTGAGCAAGGAGGTCAGCTAAGGCTTGGCTTTTGATCGCCTTGGGGGCTAAACATGTGATCCCGAATTCACCCAGTGCTAACAACCATCTTGCCACCTTCCCGGTTAGAGCAGGCTTGCTGAGGAGGTGTCGGATTGGATCACTTTTAGTAACAATCTAAATCTGATGTGCTAAGAAGTAATGTCTGAGCTTTTGGGGGGTGAATACCAGAGCTAAGCAATGTCTCTCTATCGGAGTATATCGGACTTCTGCTCCTCGAATCTTCCGGCTGTTGTAATACACCGGGCATTCTGCTCCATCTACATCTTGGACCAATAATGCCCCTATGGATTTGGGGGTTGAAGTTAAGTACAACATTAGAGGCACCCCGGGCTGCGGGGCTATCATGGTCTGAGACAAGGTCAAGGCCGCCTTGATTCCCTCGAAGGCCTTTTGGTGCTCCTGGTTCCATTCGAACTTGGCATCTCCTTTTAACAATGAGTTGAAAGGGGCAGAGATCTCTGCAAGTGCTGGGATAAACCTCCGAATATAAGACACCTTCCCGAAGAACTTCTCTAACTCCTTCTAAGAATGCGGGGAAGGCATTGCTCTAATAGACTTGACCTTGTCTTCATCTGCCTCGATACCATGTCTGTGTACGTGAAACTCGAGGAATTTCCCAGCCGTCACCCCGAAAGCACATTTGAGAGGATTCATCCTCATTCTGAATTTTTGGCATCTCTTGAATACTTTCTCAAGGTCTCGGAGATGGTCCTCCTCTTTCTTGGATTTTACCACAAGATCATCAACATAATCTTGCACCTCATGATGGATCATGTCATGAAAAATTACAGTCATAGCCCTTTGGTAAGTTGCTCCGGCATTCTAGAGTCCGAAAGGCATGACTGTATAAAAGAAGTTTCCGAGAGGTGTTCTAAAAGCAGTCTATTCCGCGTCCTCTTTAGCCATCTTAATCTGATTGTATCCACTGAATCCATCCATGGATGAGAACATCTGGTGTCCCGAGGTGGCATCCACGAGGGTGCCGACGTGAGGAAGAGGGAATTCATCCTTCGGGCAAGATTTGTTCAAATCTCGAAAGTCTACACATACTCTGATTTGACCATTCTTCTTCTTTACTGGCACTATGTTTGCCAACCACGTGGGGTACTGTATTGGCCTGATGAAACCAGCCTGTTGAAGTTTTTCAATCTCCTCCTTAATCTTCTCTTCGAGATATGGACGATACTTTCGTGCAGCTTGCTTAATTGGCTTGGAGTTTGGGAACACATCAAGATAATGAGAGACTAGGCCAGGATCTAGTCCGGGCATTTCCTTATATGACCAAGCAAACACATCTGAATACTGGCTTATCAACTTTAACAACCGTTCCCGCTTCTCTGGGCTGAGGCTCGAACTTATGAATATCGGCCTCGGTGCAACTTGTCCATCACTCAGATCTATTTCAATAAGTTGTTCGGGTTGAGGCTTCGGCCCATCTTGCCTGTATTCTAGAGCCATTTCAACCATTGTCACTATGTCATTGTCAGGAGGCTCTTCTTTTGACTGGGAGTCGGTGACTGAAGAAACCGACTCTCCGCACCTTCATAAATAGTACACCATCTTGCCCCCTTCTCGGACTTTCATCACCTTCCGAGGAATAGGCAGACTTTCTGGTCTAGAGATCGCTCGTTTACTTGATTTTGCCCTTGGCTCCTTGTCATCTTTGATATCCTCCTAACGAGGAATTTTGACCCCCCGAGGCTTAGAGGTGGTGGGAACTTCTTCGACAGCCAATTCGGTGAAGTAGATGGCATCAGAATAATGAGCTTCATGGACCTCAAAAGGCCTTTCTGTAGCCTGAATTGTCATCGTCTTCTTTCCCCATTTAGCCTTAACACACTGATGATAACTTGATGGTACAACCCTGTGTCTATGCATCCAGTTCCTCCCTACGATGATGTGGTAGTTTGCCTCGGAATCGATAATATGGAACTTGGTGGCCGAGTGAATCTCTCCAACGACTAAATCAATTGTTACGCATCCGATAGTAACTCTCCTTTCACCACCGAAGCCAGTGATGACTATCGGCTGCTTCACAATGCGCTCTTCAGAGATTCCGGCCTTTTCTCGAGTAGCGCGAGTCATAATGTTGATAGAGGCTCCACTATCTAGAAAGGCCCTTTTGAACTCAACCCCGTTAATAAAAGCAGTCACATAAAGCGGGCGATTGTGAGAAAAAGGATACTTTCGATCAGCCTCGGAGAAAGTAATGGTACTAGATTGCTCTTTTGCCTTCCTCGGGATAGACCCCTCAGTCGACATGCATTCCTCATGGTGTGCCTCGGCTATATTAATGATAGACTTGGTGATTTCCGTTCTTGCCTCCCAGGAAAGTCCAAGCTGGTCAAAGAACTGCTTGAACTTTACACAGTCTTGCAGGGTTTTGGCACAGTGATCCGGATCTTTTTCCACTCTTGGAGGCTCGTAGTTAACCATCTCCTCGGTCTCCTCAAAATAAGATGCCACATAAACATGGTGTCCTCCTCTTCCATAGTATTCTTCTCCTCCTTCTGGATCAAAGGGATCTTTGCCCTGAGTCATAAATGTTCTGCCCTCTGGATCGAGAGCACTTCCATAGTAAACTTGCTCACCCTCTGGCTCGAGGATGTCGTCCAGATAGCAGTAATCGTCATCGAGATTGGTGATAGCCTCGATCATTGGGCCTTCATAAGCTATCATAGCAACATTCTTGCCCTTGTCTCGGTGTTGAGGATATGGTTGTTCTCGGATGTCTTGAGTCCCTTGCTTTTTGAACCTCAATTCGTCTGCTTCGACTTTATCTTTGAAGATTTTCCTGAGAGTCCAACACTTCTCTGTCGGATGTTTCAATGTACGATGGTAGACACAAAATTCAGGGCTCTCACGGTCCTTTTTTGATGGCATTTCTTCGACATAAGGCAATTTTAGCTCTCCGTCGGCCACCCATTCCTTAACTAGAGCTTTCACTTCCTCGATTCCACATGGATAAGAAACATTCCCCTTTTCACCATTATATTGCTTTCTCTTCTGGCCTCTATGACCTCCTCCTTGTGAATTTCGGGTATCTGGGGCAGAGGCAGCAGCAACAATAGGTCCACGAGACGATTTGAAACTAGTCTTGTAACTGGCCTTAAATCCGGACTCCTAAGCCTGAAGAATGCTAATGTTCCGAGCTGCTTCTATTAATGCCGAGAAGGTGGGTAGCTTGTGATTAACTAGAAACATTTTGTACCTACTCAACGCCCCTTCTAGACAGATTTGAACCAGATAACTCTCCTCCACTGCTTTATGGTAATCCACAGCCTTGTCTTGAAACCTTTTGACGTAGTCAAGGATATCTTCACTTTCTTGCTGCTTTTCTTTACACAATGTAAGTGTGGTCACCTTCTCCGCCACTTGAAAGAACTTAGAGTGGAATTTGTTAACCATTTTCTCCCAACTTCGGATAGAGTTTAGGGCCAAATTAACATACCAACTATATGCTCGGTCGGTGAGGGACTTAGAGAATTCTCTCACCCGGAGGACGTGGTTTGAACCATGAATACCTAGAGTCTCGATGAATCGCACAACATGTTCTCGAGCATTTCCTTGTTTGCCATTGAAATTGATGAATTTCGGCACTGTATACCCCTCAGGGTATGGATAGCTCAGCATCTCAATAGGGTAAGGCGGCTTGACATCCGGATCAGGCAAAGAGAGTAAAGTCCTCTTGCCCCGTTCGAGATCGAACATGGCTTGCGCATCGGCGAGAGTGAGAAACTGTTGAGGGAGAGAGTTTGATGGTGGTATTCCCGGAACTTGGCTTATGGACCCACAGACTGAGCTAGGGGCGACTTGGCCATTCTGGTGCTGCGAATTCATCATTGGTGAGGACATTTGATGATACTGGCCATCAGTACCTATAGACAAGCCAGTTGGTGATGGGACATTGAATTGAGGCCCGTAAAGTCCACCGCACGGCGCTGCTATACCGGGTTGTGCTTGCAAATTTGTTGTTGGCACCAAAGGAAGCCCATTTGGTGCTTGGGTAACATTTACTGGTGGCGTAACAAGATTAGGTACGGGCAGAGCTCCCTTTTTGCGCCATCATGCTCCTCATGTTTTTCTGGACACCAACAGTCGCCGGAGCGCCATTCATTACACCAGAAACTCCCCTAGTCACCATTGGATCTTGGCTCGGCACGCCATGGAGCCCGGGCATGGGCAAACTGCTGCCGCCTACTGTGGTTTGAGCATGTGTTACTGTGGCCGTGTTGCCATGAGCCATAGGCTGATTGGGGCCTACTTCTCCTTGGATTTGATTTTGCGCTCCGGCGGGAATAACTCCACCACCAGTTTGATTTCCGTTTGGCGCCGGTGCAAAGTTAGAACTCATCACCAACATGGTGTGAGTGAGATTCTGAAGAGTGGTAAGAATCTCCTGCTGAGTATTTTGCTGTGTTGCCATGAGCCATAGGCTGACTGAGGCCTACTTCTCCTTGAATTTGATTTTGCACTCCGACGGGAATAGGTCCACCACCAGTTTGATTTCTGTTTGGCGCCGGTGCAAAATTAGAACTCATCACCAACATGGTGTGAGTGACATTCTAAAGAGTGGTAAGAATCTCTTACTGAGTATTTTGAAGTCCTTGAATGGCTTCGAGCAAAAGTAGTTGATCTGGAGCCATGGTCCTATCATAATCACCAGTAGAGCGATTTGACTCGTTTGATGTTAATAAATCCGAGCCCACCAATCTTGAATTTTTTAATTGGGCCTAATTAATTTAAATGGGCCTGACTTAACTCCTCCTACACATTTTGAATACCCTTATGAGTAAAATAAATTAGAGCATAAGATGTTTTATTGATGTATTATGATGCAGCATAGTGTAGTGTGGGAGAAAAAATCAAACACGTGGTATTATTCTTTGCTAGGTCCACTCAGCTAAGTCATTTGGGTGGAGAATATCATGGGGCATCCCAACAATTGTCTATCTGGATGAGGATAATCACCTCCAAGTAAGGGGCATTATCGCACAACTGGCAGAGAAACAATCTCTTGGTAGTTATTTAATTCTCTAAGTGACACATCCATAAAAGGTTAATTTCATATTACAAAATCATAAATACAATAAATTAATTACTTTTATAGAAGTGGTTCTAACTCAAGTAGCAGAGTGTCCAGTCGACGTAGGCTAACTGAGACACTAACAGTGTTCTATTTTGTAGATTTACGGGTGTATGTTCGTATTGGAAGATACAATGTGAATAAAAATAAGTGAAAAAAAAAATAAACAAATAAACGAATAAAGAGAAAAAAAAAAGAGAAAATAAAAAGAAATGAGGGAGGAAGGAAGGTAGGATTTGTTGTTCAAAATTGTGAAATTAAATAAATAGATTTATGAAGAAAACAAATTATATACCAAGAACATATGCTGATAATTACAACTAAATTTCAACAGAAATACACAAAAAACAATAAAGGGTAAAGAGACAAAACCGAAGCCTGCACGGAAGCAGTTTCTTTAAAACAGATTTCGCCGCCTCACGGGTCGAGTGCTTGAGGAAACCCGGCGTCTGTCTCCCAGGATACAATAGTCAAAACCAGCTACGGCAGAAGCACTATCTGTCTAGCTTAGCGAACAAAACAATGGCAGCACTCTCTCACAATAGGAACTATCAAGCAAACTGACTTGTAAAATTGAAGCAAAAATTTCTATATTGAAACTTGACAGGGTCTCAATTTATACATGTATAGGAGAGAGAGGAAAAGCCTCCAGCCTTTAAGGCTAGTCATTAAAACACCAAGCATCCATAGCCCCTTTCCAGAAAATGAAAAGTATGGATGCCCAAAGGATTCACACCCTTTAGCCAAGAAAAAAGATTTAAATACTCTTTAAAATCCTATTCATGAATCTAACATCATGAAGCAATTTCTTGACAATTTCTTTTTCAAAACCCAATGGTTTTTGGCTCACTTGGACCCAACACAAAAAATGGTTAGGACCCACTTTAATATTTAATTAAAGTCACCACACTTTAATATTAAATGAAAGTCCCCAAAAATCATTTTTTCCAACAATCCCCCACATGAATAAAAATTGACCGAATGACTCAACAAACGGACATCGTTCAACAATAAAGACTCTGAGAGAGAGTACAACGGACTAACCCCGACATCAGAGAAGGTAGCTTTTGGCTTTGAACCTCTCCCAGTGAAAACCTATCGAGTTTACTGGCAGATCAGTGAATAAGACATCTTGAACTGCTCTACCGTTTATGTAAACTAAGACAATAGATCTCACACGGGAATTACGCCTACCACCATTATGTTCTCACTGGTGTGCCCTGTGTGGCCCTGGGCACTAGCCTGGTTCAGCGAGTAGTTTCAAAGAATCTTGGCCTGCCCAATTCTTCTAGAAGCGGCCCCACTTCAAACTCACATAGGTGACTCTACTAAAGTATCCTGCAATACTTAGCTCAACAGCTTAACACATAAGAGTCATTAA